TGTTGTAGCAGCTGTAGTAGCAGCAGTATTTGAAAGTAGTAATAGCGGCTTCAGCAGTAGCAGAAGTAGTAATAGTAGTAGTAGTACTATTTGCTGGATGTAGTACTACTACTATGTACCAGTAGTAGTAGTACATCATTAGTAGTAGAACATTACTCTTCTACTTGTGGCAGAGCTGTAGTAAAAGTAGTAATGGTAGTAAAACTTGTAGTGGTGGTAGTATTAGTAGTAGCGACAAGGACCGCATTGCAGATAGCAGCAGCAGCAGTAGCGGTGGAAGTGTGAAGATGATAAAGCTAATTGTAAAAAGCAAATTACCAACATCCATTCTCTTTCGATGGACAGAAAGTGCATATGTGTATGCGCGTGTGTGTTTTTTTGTATGTGTGTGTGTGTGTTTGTATGTTTATGTGTGTGTATTTGTATGTGTATGCATCTATGTGTATGTGTGTGTATTTGTTTGTTTGTGTGTGTGTATATATATATATGTATTTGTGTGTGTATGTATAAATTTGTGTATGTATGCATGTATGTATGTTTGTTTGTATTTGTTTTTAGGTTAGGAGTCTTCTACACAAACACACACATTATATCAGAAATATGACAAACTTAAAAGGACTTATGTTTAAACATCAACCACTAAGATTGACCAGCGCTGGGCAGTGTGACCTTGTACGTAATTTGACGAAAGAATGAAAAAGGACATTATAAGCGAATGAAAAGGTCTCCTCCCAACATTTCCACATTCTAGAAAAGTCCCTTCCCACTCAACATTCGAAAATTGTATGTTTATATATATCCTCTTTTTTTATTATTATTCTTTAAAATCAGGATCTGACAGACGCAGAAACTGTAACAACATGCAAGGCAGTGAAACAAAATTAAACAAATAAGTGAGAAAATAAATACAAAAAGTGAGGAAGAGAAATGATAAAACATGAAAAATAAAATATGTTATAATAAAATAAACAATAATAATAAGAGAAATAAAAGAAAAGTAATTGACGATTATCTTCTTTCTCATTCTTCGCTTTTCCAATCAATCCTATCCATTGCAACATCCTTTGTAGGAGTTGGGCCTAGGGGTTGGTTTCTCAGCTCCTCAACGGCATGTTTAATTCATGTTTTCTTTGGTGCAGAACTACGGGTTTTCCAGGTTCCAGGTCGAGATCTTCAAAGCAGTTGGTGAGGCGGACGGGATCGGCTCATTGGACACGCATGACACCAAACAACCATCGCAATCGTCGTTTCTCGATCATCCCTTCGACGGTTGGTCGGTTCTGGCAT